AAAAAAAAAAAGAGAATGTTCCTAAGAGAACAAGAACTGTTTGAAGAGACTACTGTTTCAATGAAGGATATTTATAAAAAGAAAAAAAACCCCCACACACAGCACAAGATGATTCATGATAAGGAATTTCTAGTTTGTTCCATGAACAGTTTATACTTTCAGGCCCCCTCTAAAGGATGCATGAAGGCAAAAGACTGGTAGCCGCCATCTTTGTGTAAGACACAAAAGTAGACTGTCAATCTCTCGTTAGTCTCAAAAACACTTAATTTTTCATTAAGACAGTACCGCCACAGCCCTACTCGACTACTAGAAGTCTACGGACAGAAATCTAAGCATGCATGGGATTTGTTTGGTTTGCTTTGAAGTAGGGTAGTGGAAATGGGGTACTGGGACAAAGGCACGGTGAATTTGAGAGAGAGAAGTCCTCCCTTCACTGAGTAGGTGTATTCCTTCTGCTCAGCCAAAACCAATGGGTTTTTCTTTTTTTGCCAAATTGGAAACCTTCCTCTCTAGATGTAGATTCGAGTTTTATTTTACTGGTTCATCCTTTTTGAGACAAAAGGAGTGCACTTGCTACAAGTGAGGCACGCCAAGGACAAATGTCAGAGCAGAAAGAGGCAATCCATGGAAACGTCTGGTTGTGAATCCTGGATGGTAGGTCCTGGTTATGCTGTAAAACTTTGAATCTATGAAACAGCAGCCAAAAAACAAGGGTAAACGGGAACAAGAAAACAAAGCGAGTCGCTAAGTTGTGTTTTTTCAATTTGCAAGTTGTGTGGTAAGTCTGCTGTAGTATTGGTATAAGATTTTAATGGATTACTGCCTAGCTGAGCCAAAATGTTTGCCGTTACTGTTGGACCACTAAAGTAAACTGCTGCTTTTTACAGTGCATTGGTGTGTACATGTATACTGTTTCACATTTTCCATACCAACACGAAACCATTGCAAGTCTATCACTGTTGTTGCCATGGTACTGTAAAAAAAAAAAAAACGAAAAAGAAGATGGCCAATCATTGTGTGTACAGAGTTTAACTTGTAATTAATAGAGCCTGTTGAAAAAAAAACAAAAACTGTTGCCTTTTTCTTGTATAAAAGAGAATTTATGACAAAATTTAGCTGTGAGGAATGTGATACGTGTTTATATTTCTGAAAATGGAACAAATTGATTCATGGGGATATATTTTAATGTAAACTGAATCAGGTATGTAAAGCTGTTTTAAAATGGGAAACTATATAAGTAATTCTAAAGCTTTTGTTGGTTTGAATATGATTTCTTTCTTCATGGTGGGGCCTGCTTGTGTATTACTAAGCACTTGTATGCAGTCTATGTTCTTCGATCATCATTTCTTGCAATGTGCTATAGACATAATGCTCTTTTCTGTGTTGATGAAAAGCAGTATGTGGGCCAGTCTTTTTTTATAAAACACTATGCATATATAAATACGACATTGTTCATAGCTTTATTTGACTTATTGGGTTTATACATAACATTAGTATAAGTACCTGTGGACTTACCCAGTATGAACATCTTTCCTTGGAACAGACACAATGTATATGATGTAGCAACAAAGAAGGAGAAAGTCTGTGAATGCTATTTTTATTATCAAATAAAGTTTTCCATACAAAGCACACATGAGTGTAGTGGTAAGATTAAGGGAGAGACCCATCCCCTGTAACAACTTGCCCAAACTCCTTAAATTAGTAAACTGTAGCTTTCTGTTTCCAGCAGTCATGCACTAAAGAATATAGGACTCATTTGACAACATTGTATTATGGATGTTTTATAAAAGGTGAAGTCTGTTCTCCCTTCCCCCTTCCTCTCCCAACTAAGAGCTAAGTTTTTAGATGAGTATGAGTTCGGCATCTTCCTTGAGCCCAACACCATCAGCGTCACAGCACAGTGGCGTATGTGGTAATGTAAAATCCCAGAGGACGTGTATGTGTCCTGATGTATTTATAGGATCCTATGACATTAGTCACTGAGGCCATCGTTTCCCCAGCTCTTACTGGAAATATTGTAAAAAGGCTACGAGGTAAGGAATGCAAAACTGGATTTATATTACATACTGCATAAGTCATTTGAACCCTTGTCATGAACTTCCTGCCAACCTTTTGGGAGTGTCGATGCCTTGATGAAAGCAAGTTGCTGATAAATGTTTTGTTTTTTCAATGGCACCACCTTCAGGTGGGCTTTTCAGATGCAAATTTGCTGTTTAAAAGAATGTGAGGGTACAAACCAATGACCCAAAGCCATGTGTGGTTGGTTTTTTTAAGTTCGAATCTTTTGTGACTTTTTATGCCTTTTTACTGTGTAATTATATTGTAAATGTATGCATTCCATAATTATCGCTTCTAAATTTGTATCTTCGATTGTTTCTACTGTATGTCTACTACATTTTTATGTAACAAGATAGCTTGAGTAACCTAAACAGAGCTGGTCAATAAGACTTGACTGGTTCAAGCAAAATAAAACACTGCATAGAATAGAAGCGTTGATAAATACCAGAACATTCATTACTCATACATTTAATCCTCAGCGTTAGTATATGATGACGAAAAAGCTTGCTCACAAGGTCTTGCTTTGCTAGTACGTTGTATGGCACTTCCATAGCGCTCAGCCTGACGCGTGTTGGATGCTTCATTGGCATAACTCTACCCCAGCCGACACGAGCATTTTTCAGGAGATCCGATAATGAGAGGAGAAATCCTTTCTTGGATTGCATTTGATAAGATGTGGAGCAAAATTGTTAATAAATTATTACAACTGTGTTTCTGTTAGAAGGATTACCGGTAACTGAAATGCCTTTCTGGCGTGATGGAAACCTGAAACGCTTACAAAGCGATCAGTCAAAAAGCTCTGGAAATTGGGATGATTAGTTTCTTTTGTTTGTGTTTTTACATCGTTCTTTTTTCCTGGCGTAGTTGTTCTGTTGGCCTTGAGCGCTGCCGATGATGAGTCATCTTCAATGTATCAAATTCTGCCGCCCCTACTCCCATTGACTAGTACCTAATTTCATAAGCAGTCCCATTGATTGGAACGGCATTGTTCGCCTCGATAGGTACCAACTTCTCTCTGATCTTCCCTTTGCAGTTGTTAGCAGGTTCTAGAATAGCTAAGCTATTTTTGTGGCTTTTATATGACTTACCTTCTGCATTCGTTCTCAGCTTGAACTTCCATTCCTAGATGTTTCAGGCTATGTTTTATCTAATAGCGGTGGTGGTTTTAATCCATCTGCTGTGCTTTGCTTATTTTGTCACCAAAGCCGTAATTAGAGATATTCTTCCCCTCTCCACTCGGATATCTTTTGTTAAAGCAGGATTTCAGTACTGTCTCCTTTATAAATGGTTTCTAATGCATGCCGTTTATTTGGCGCTCATAAATAGCATCAGGAAGAGGATGCCATTTATATCCCTCTGGCGCCATCTGCAAATATGCGTCTTCTGGCTTTCTGGGGTTTGATAGTCTTAAGATATGTATGGAACCAAAGCAAGAGCTCAGAAAAAGACCCCAGTGGTTTACTGAATATTTGGTCTGAATACTCATGGACTTGAATGCATTTTGATGATTTTTCTTAAGTGGTATTAATTCCCTGATACTACTCCCTCTGTCTACGGTTGAGCTGTAAATTGCCATGCTGCATACCCAAAAATCAGTATTTCTGGAGGAAGGAAACCTTAAGGCTACTGAAATACGGCAACTGCTGTTTCGTTGCATGTAGAAATTCAGCGTCTCATCCCTTCAAAGGCAAATCGAACACCAGATACGCAATGGCTCTAACCTTTGTATGGTTGCACTAAGCCAGGAGTTGACAGTACGGGCTCACGTTGCTGTGCAGATTTTGCTGAGTTTTTTCTATGCCTGACTTGACTGACAAAGGGTGTGCTTAGGTTCTGCTCAAAACTTTGCATGTTGGGAGCAGCAATCGAACCAAGATATTGCTTACTGATTGAAGGCCATGGGTTCAACAGGGTTTCTAAGGGCATATCTATACAAACTCCCCTCTGACCCCGCTTCCAGCGTAGGCACCCCAGTCTGGCAATAGGACTGAGTCATTGCCTTGGAATAGCATTGCATGCTCTAATCCTAAGGCCACTTTTGGGTTCTCTGGTCGGGAGAAGCCTGAAATCAGGACTGGAAGTAGACAGGGCTGTTCTTAAGTCATCTACTCTGTCTAATAGCTGGTCTCTGCCGTACCCAAGCATGTTGGCAGTTGACCCAGGGTTGGAAGGAAAGCTGAATGGAGGTGGCTTTGGGAAGAGGGTGTCATCTTGGACAGCCCTGGGCTGTGGAGTTCACTACTGGAGTACACTAGGTATCCCCCAGCTCTCTGACAGTTCATTCTTCATTCCCAAAATCGCCCCAGCTGAGATGACAAATGATGGGGTGTGTTTTGGTGGTGAAGTCTCGATGGAGATTCAGGGCTGTGGCACCTCTGAGGCAAAGCATGCAGCTCTCTCAGGTCACGGGAGGGCTAGCAGGAGGACAGACTTGAGTCCTCCTCATCCTGGACTGTTCCCTATCCTTCCCATATTTTAAACCTCCAGCAGTCCCCATGCCAGGACTTGTAAGAGGGCTCTTTGAAGAACCGCCATAAAGCTGTCTTGCTTAATTCTTGTACCTAGCGAATTTCACTGCAGCCAGAGTCAG